CCACACCGAGACCATTCATCACGTCCCATCGGGATGATGCTTCGAAGACGAGCTTCCGTGGTGCTTCGAAGACGAGTTTCCGTGGTGCTTCGAAGACGAGTTTCCGTGGTGCTTCGAAGACGAGTTTCCGTGGTGCTTCGAAGACGAGTTTCCGTGATGCTTCGAAGACGAGTTTCCGTGGTGCTTCGAAGACGAGTTTCCGTGATGCTTCGAAGACGAGTTTCCGTGAGGCTTCGGAGGCGGGGCAGGGGCGCTCTCTTTCCCATCAGCAGCCAGCACCCCCTTCTCCTTCTCATCCTCCGCGGGTAAGTCGAGGCTCTGGGCGTTGGCGACCCCGGCACAGCCGCCCGCAAGCACAATGGCCAGCAGGGCGGAAAGGAGAACAATCTGCGTAACCTTCATCGCTGGGTGCGTGGGTGGAATGGCTTTCGGGCCCTGTGTGTCCTTACTGCGCGGCGAGACAAAACGGAGAGCAGCAAGCGGTGAGGCAAAAGACGCAGGGGCAGGGGACGACGAGACACACACGCGGCCACCGCAGCGCACCACAGGCGCCCTTCAGCTCACTACCCACGACAGACACTCGCACCAGGCCCGAGACTCTTAGGCACGGCTGCTGCCGCCGCTCAACGTTGCGAGCGGCGACGCCACGTGGCGCCGAAGGCAACAGCCGGGCCCAGCGGAGCGTCTGCCATGCGGGAGCTCCTTCGCCCCTTCTTCTCCAAAATACACCGGCTGCCACGAGCCGGTACACCCATGAAATACAAAAAAAAAAGCCGCTAAACTAGTTATAATATCACGTCTCTACAAAAGAAGAACAAACAAATTTATTTATCCACTTTTCCCAAAAACAACAGCACAAGCGTGCCTTTTCAAGCTGCGGAAACAAAAAACTCCGAAGAGAAACGGGGGAGCGCCTAGAACACCGTGACGGCGGCCAGCGCCACGGCAAGGCCGAGGACACCGTGCACCACACCGAGACCATTCATCACCGTCCCATCGGGATGATGCTTCGAAGACGAGTTTCCGTGGTGCTTCGAAGACGAGTTTCCGTGGTGCTTCGAAGACGAGTTTCCGTGGTGCTTCGAAGACGAGTTTCCGTGGTGCTTCGAAGACGAGTTTCCGTGATGCTTCGAAGACGAATTTCCGTGGTGCTTCGAAGACGAGTTTCCGTGATGCTTCGAAGACGAGTTTCCGTGAGGCTTCGTAGGCGGGGCAGGGGCGCTCTCTTTCCCATCAGCAGCCAGCACCCCCTTCTCCTCCTCATCCTCCGCGGGTAAGTCGAGGCTCTGGGCGTTGGCGACCCCGGCACAGCCGCCCGCAAGCACAATGGCCAGCAGGGCGGAAAGGAGAACAATCTGCG